CAGGGCCTTGCGGGGGGCGGCTGAACAGCGCCCGGCCCCTTCCAGGAGCGGAGCCGCGGCCGCGCGGGACGCCGAGGCTCCTCTGGCGGAGATCCGGCCAGTTCCGGGCGCACCGAGCCTCCAGTTCACCCGGGGCCGCTGACGGGATGGGGGCCCACAGCCAGAATCGGCTGCTGGTCGCTGAAGCCCCTCCCGCCCCCCTGGCAGAAGGCTGGAGGGCCGACCGGAGGGCGTGGGGCTTTCGGCTGGATTGCAGCTGGGTGGGGGGGGGTGTTGTTCGTTCTGCGGGGCATGCCTGAAAAGAGGGCCTCTCTGCAAGCGACTGCCTTCTGCGTATTTCCCAGACCACGCAGAGTAACTGGGCTTTTCTTCTCTGCCTTAAAAGGGGAGACATGATGAAGTCGCTCTTTTCCCCACCAACCTGATCTCTGTAGGGTACAAAAAGCCGCTGGCTCTCTCTGCACAAGTCTTGGCGGCCAGCCTGGCCTTTTCTGCCAGCAAGTGATGCTTCTGCATCTCTGTGTCCAGGGAGCCGGAGCCCACCCTGGCCTGAGATTGCCTCGCCTAAGAAGGGAGGCAGAGCAGTGACTCATCCAGAGAGACAGCAGGGTGCCTACTGGATTTCCCTGCATCCTCCCAGCCCTCTCGGGGGGGGGGGGGGGGGGGACCAGTCAGTGGGAAGAGGAGGCTGGGCCTGGGTTGGCTCAAGGTAACTTTTAGGCAGCACTAAGTGGAAGATGCAGAGCAATTTTCTCCATTACTCCGATTTCATTGGTCACGTGGGCTGCGGATTCTGCCTGTCATGGTCCTGGCATCTGGGCAGCTGGCTGAGCCAGAGAGGGGAAACGTATTTGGGGACCGATTTTGTGCAAATATCGATAGTGGTTGCACACGTGCTTGTGGGAAAGCCCATCAGTCCCTCCTGCTCCCCGCCCCCCAGAGGCCTGCCGGGTCCTTCTGCTCAGCTGCGTGTCCTGCCTGGGGGCGGCCAGGCTGGCAGGTGGCGTGGATCGTCCTGGTCCTTGGGTGGCTGTGCTGCGTCCAGGTTGCTGCTTGCTGGTCTTTCAGCTTGTGTACTGTGCCAAACGGTTGCCTGGGTGGATTTTTGTGCTGCTGACCTGCTTTTAATCGATTGCCTGGAGAACTGAGGTGTTGCAAAGTACAGGGAAGGAAGGTACCACACAAACTGGGGCCACCCCTCTTCCTCACTGCACCCCTTTTTGATGCTTTATTCTCTCATGCGGAGGGGGCATTAGCGTGAGGGGAGCCGGACGGACGGGAGCTTTTTCCCGTGGGTGCCACGGGAGCCAGCCAAGCACGCGCCCTCTGGCTGCAGGGCAGTTTCCAGCAGGGCGGACTGCTCCTTCGGGGGCAGCCGGGGGCTTTGCTTGCCCCTGAGCTGGTGCTTTTGTCTCAGAGACCACTCTGAGGGCCCTCTCTGGGTGGACTTAATTGGGGAAATGGGTTAGGCCCGTTAGCCTGGCCAGGAAATGACCAGCGCCCCTCTGAGAAGGCTGAGCGGGGAGCCAGTACTCTGGGACAAGAGCAGGCACACCTTTGGCTCCAGGGGTCCCCTGGCTGCGGTTGCGGCTGCGCACCCCCCCCCCCCCCCCCCCCC